AAATGCACCAAGAGGATGAAGTGCGTTAATTATTAAACATAACATTTCCCACTATGAGGAACCAGGCACCCAAGAACCAGAAAATCATGTAACCATTAGCACCATTACCATTAAAGGGGGTAAAATTACAATAGCTGCAATCTATTGCCCACCAAGGTACAACCAGAAAAAAGAAAATTATCTCAATATACTCAAAAAACTAGGTAACAAATTTATAATCGGTGGAGATTACATCTCCAAAACCCTAACTGTGTTTTAACATTAACCACAGTCAAAAGAAACGACTTGCACCGAGCTGCATCAGAACTTAGTTGTACATACCAATCTTCTGAAAAACCCACCTATTGGCCCACCGACCCAAATAATATTCCATACCTTTTGGATTTCTTTATTTTGAGGAAAATTTCACCAAACTATACACAAGTAGAAGAAAAATTTGGTATGAATTCAGACCATTCTGCAGTAATCCTTACACTAAGTGAAAATGTTATTCAATAAGAAGCAAAACCTAGTAAACCGGAAAACTAATTGAGAAGGTTTTCAAGAAGACTTAGCAAATACTATTCAACTGACCATAACACTAAAAACAAAAAATCAGCTAGATGAAATACTGGAAAGGTTTATAGTTGAAATCCAGCAAGCTGCATGGAGGAACATACCAAAAGTAAGAAGATTAACAGCTGGAAAAAACTATCCTGTCGAGGTAAGAGAACTGGTAGCAGAAAACAGTAAACTAAAAAAAAAAATGGCAGATGACAAGATCACCAGAAGATAAAAATATATTAAATAGGGCTACCCAAAGAAGAGAAATCCTTAATCACAAAGAATAATCCTTCAACAAATATCTAGAGGCACTAACAGATGATAAAGAAACTGATTATTCGCTCTGGCAGGCAACTAAAAAGATGAAAAATTCGTGTAAACACTGTCCTTATATCAGAATAGCAGATAACAAATGGGCAAAAGACACTTAATACAAAGCTGTTATTTTCGCTGTCCACCTACAAAAGACCAATTAGATGAAAATCAAAACACTCCTAATGAGACGATCCATAATATGAAATTAGGCTAGTTACTCGCAATGAAGTTACGAAAGAAATTCAGACAAACATCAACTAACAGAAAGCCCCAGGATATAACCTTATTACTGGAGAAATATTAAAAAAACTACCACGGAAGGCTACTGTTAAATTGACAACTCATAAATGCAGCATTTTGCCTTACGTGATGCGTGGAAAATGGCTGAAGTTATCCTAATTCCTAAGCCAGAAAAACCTCCGAATTAAGTGTTATCATATAGACCTATATCATTGTTACCAATAATATCTAAGTTATTTGAAAAACTACTACTAAAACGACTAAAACCAATAATTGAAAATAAAAATCTGATCCCTTCACACCAATTTGGTTTTAGAAACAAACACTCGACAAGTCGACAATATACCAAGTACACAGGATAGCCGATATCATCGAAAACACTTACGAAGAAAAATATTGAAATGATATCATACTGTATATAATTTTTTTTTATTCAATTTTAAAATATACTTACCTCGGCTCGCCACTGTGATTTATAAATAGAACAAAAGAATTTTCTTACTCTCAGGGGTGCTTCAAAATTATTAAAATATTATTTATTTTATTTTGTTTTATCTTCTTTCATGTATTATATTTTTAATTTTTTATTTAATTTAAATGTATTTTAATTTCATTTTATTTTTTATTTTTTTTTATATTTTATTCATTTTATTAGATTCTATTAGAAATTATACAAAATGACCCCAGACAAAAAAAATGATTTCTATATTTATAATATTGAGCGGTTAGATGCTTGAATAAACAAACTCTTACAAATTCGAGTCTAATTTTAATAAATAACACTAAAAAAAAATTGAACAAATATCAGGTATACCATACCTGGCATAAATGAAAAGCTTTAAAAAAAAATAATAACTAGCCTACTATACTTACTACACCTACTAAATAAAAAAAATAACTCTTGTTAAATAAAAATTACAAAAAAATAATACTTAGTATCGTTAGATTTGTCTCTCACTGGTCCATTTATCAAGAGTTATTTGAAATCTCTATAATTATATTTATAATTATTTACTTTTTGAAACAAACAACTTGTTATGATTATCCATTCAGAACTAATAGTCTGTAGTTGCTCAAAAACAAATAAAAATGTTTTACAAATACCGTATTCACTTTTTTGGTCACTGCTGTGTCCTGGTCACCCTTATTTCATACGCTTATCAACTTTTATTTATTTTCATCTTCTTCTCCTTCTCTCATAAAATCTTATGATTCGTATTACCTTTTACACCATGCCTTTAATAGTTTGTTTATTTGTTTTCATACATTACAATCCTATTCTTATTTTAAAATTTTTCTGGCAGTTTCTTTTCCAAAATTCAAAAATTGACAACCACCATTTTTTTTTCTTAATCAATCTCCCATCATTCAAAGCCCGATTCATAATTGAATTCCTATCCAGGGTGTCACTGCATAATACCAATATGTATCATTTACTTTGTTAATTTAAAAGTGAAAAATTTACCATAACAATATATATGCTCAGCTATATTTCTTGACGTATCCCAAGCATTTGATCAGGTTTGGCACGCTGGCCTGATACAGAAACTTTAAAAAATGCTCCCTAGACAATATATTGACATTCTACAATCATATCTAACGAGAAGAATGTTTATAGTAAAGCAAGACGAGGCATACTCCGAAATTAAAGAAATTAAAGCAGGTGTCCCGCAAGGCAGTGTGCTAGGACCGGTTCTTTACTTATTATACACCAGCGATATCCCTCAATGTGTTGAAATAACAACATTTTCGGATGATACTGTAATATTGGCAGTTGGTGGAACTAATACACCTTAGAAAAACTTCAGAAAACCTGCAATAGAATCAATCGATGGACAGAAAAGTGGAAAATTAAAATAAATCAAACTAAATCAGTGCATGTTGATTTTACTCTTCGACCAAATAAACAAAAACAAATAAGAATAAACAATGACGTTATTCCGCATCACGATTTGGCCAAATACCTAGGGATGAACCTAGATGTAAGACTTAAATGGAAAGAGCACATAAAAGAAAAGCGAAAAGAACATGAACTTAAATTCAAAAAAATGTATTGGCTCCTAGGAAGATAATCCAAATTATCAGTGTATATACAACAAACTGCTGATTTATAAACACATCCTAAAACCAATCTGTATTTATGGCATACAGCTATGGGGATGTGCCAACAAGAGTAATATAAACATAATTCAAGTTTTCCAAAATAAAGTTCTAAGATGCTTTGTTGATGCACCTTGATTCTATCGAAACGATTATCTTCATAGAGACCTGAAGATGACAACAATCGAAGAAGAAATAAAGAGGTTTGATGCGAAACATGAGGGTCGAATACACTTCCATGTCAACGACAACTCTACACTCAATAGAAGGCTCAAAAGGAAGAAGCCATTTGAGCTTGTGTAGCGAATGTTAATGTTAGTGCTAATGTAAAACAGTATAATAAATCGTCACGCCAACTTGTGACGCTTTCCTATAGAAACAATTAAGACAGTCCAATGGGGACTTCTTAGATAAGTAATTAGTTTAAAAGAAAAAAAAAATCAAAACAAGTATCAGCATTATAAATATCTGCTAGACGCTATAACTTTTGGTTAAAATTCCCTGTATTTCGGATATGTGTTTACTAAACAAAAAATATTTTGGTGCCCCCTACCATCCTTCGGTGTAGTTTATTTCTGTTTAAATTTAAATTTTGAAATAATAAGATATGAAACTGTGCATCGTACTTTCATATATTTTTTATCTCCCTTTGCATCAACCTACCCTCACCATAAAATTTTCAACGATACCCTGCAAATATTATAAAGGATAAAATTATTATTTGCTATGAAAAATCAAGGTACCTATGTTTAAAAAGAATGTGGATTTTTTGCTTCGATGCAATGCACTACCCCCAAATCTTAAAGATTCCAACTTAAATATGACCAGAAATAAAGCCATCCAAAATTTTCAGGTGGAATCGGTATATAGTTGAAATGACCGGACGCTTGATTCCGATGGATTTTTTGGAGGCATTTAATCCACAAAATATATTTTTTGTATTAATGAATTTAAATTACATTTTAATAAAAGTGCTAGATAGGTAGGTACTTACCTCCCAAATTTAGTACACAAAAAAACTGCACAGGAAATGTAAAATTAACGCAAAAATAATAAAAATAATTTGAAAATATAATAAACACACTCAAATCAATGTTCCGAACACAAATCTAAAACACACATCACTAAAATAAATAAAACAAATAGCTCATATATTATATACTTATTTATTTCAACCATTATTTGAAAATTGGGGTAAATATACCTACCTATTTATGAGAGATGTACCACTAACATATTCTTACGATAAGTATTTATCCCAAGTAGGTACCTGCGACTCTAATTAGACAGCTAAATATTTAATTTTCCATAAACGAGAAAAACCTTGCTATAGAATTGGTAAATTCCCTAACGATATATATCTACAAATACGCGGTGTTGAGAAATCTTTTCCACTAGACCAACTTAATTAAGAGTATGGTTGCCTATATTATTTTGCTGAACGGCCTTTGCAATGTAAAGGACAAACTATGGAGGTTTAAGAGTGTAGCTGCATCTACATAGGCAAGAATTAGCTAAAATTCAAATCCTAATCATGTTATCTAAAACCGGAAGTGCTTTGGCATCCTTAATGGAGATTGAGAGAGTGTATTAAGTCACAGAGTAAAAAATAGTAAATATTTTCATGTAAATGTATTCAACAAAATATATTCAACAAGATATATTCAACAAAATGCATTCATATAAATGTGTTTATATAAATGTTTTCATATAAATGTATTCATATAAATGCATTCATATCGATATAGTCATGTAAATGTATTCATCTAAATGTATTCATATAAATTTATTTTAATTTTTAGAATGATTTGTACCCTGCCGAAGTTAACTCAAGATATGTACCGGATAACTATATTGAAATATAATGATATCAATCCCGATGATTCTGATATAGACAAATTTTGTGCGCATTTTTTAAACAATATTTATGAAGTTAGATTGCATGAAGATTTGATTTCAGGAGACATTTACATAGCTGATTATGAATTTGTCAAATTTGGGGTCATGGCAAAATTATCACCGATATTGCTTAAGAACGTAGCACAAGTTTTTGAGGTAAGTAAATATTAATTTATTATATTGCATTTCCACAATTTAAACCACTAACAAAAAGTAACAAATTGATATACCTGCAGATATCGCGAAAATGGACATAATATCTGTAATATGTATATCTAAAAGGCGTTTCGTACCAATTAAACATTATGGCTTTCTTTACGGCTTTCTTTATCATTTGAATTAATTAAAATATGGTTTCCATTTAGAAAAATAAAAACAAACGATCGTTTATATAAATAAAAGGTGTGAGTAAATAAAAAAAATATAGGAAATTGAAGACCTAAATTATTTACAAAGGGATTAAAGAAACAATTCTTATATTTTAAGAAATATCTTTCAATCCACCGACTTTTTTTATTGCCGAATTAGTTTGAAAACGTTCGAAGTATTAAAAATATAATATTATATTCTTAACTCTGGCTTCTCTTCATTGCGAATAAATCTTTCGCTTTTTACTAAAGATTTCCGTGGAGAGGAGCAATACAAATGAATTTATATTGTTTAACATACATACATATGACCTTCACCGTTTATTACATAATAACGTAAAATGTATCCAATATGCTGATGATTTCTGTTTCTATACTGTCCGAGATTTTCATAATCTATGTATAACCGACTTAAAATACACTCTTTATTGTCTAAAGAACTGGTTAAGAGAACACAACTTCGTTATTTCCCCTGAAAAATCAGCCATTGTATTTTTTACCAGGCATCGATTAAACACACCAGACACAATTATTCTATGTGGAATTGATGTTCCTATCTGAGAATACCGATCAAGGAGAAGCGACAGCTTGGTGTTTTCAATGTACCGTTTTGTAACGCGTATGTGCGAAAATAAGTTGTGTATCACTCAAAATTATGTTATCTGTCAAAGTCAGTCCAAGTTTTGTTTAGTACGTGAGCAATGTTAAGTGATATTTTTTGGTGTTTGTTTTGTGTAGTAATAAGATGAAGATTTTTACACACTAAGGTATTATAATACAGATATAAAATGTGCCAAAAAAGTTATTAGGAAACTAAGAATTTTATCACATGCATAAATATTAAGTATAATGATTTAATCATTTTTGACATTTTCTTTTTCATATGTAGGTATTGTATTTTGTGAAATATATGTTTTTCTTCTTTTAAATAAATTTAATACACAACGAACTGCAGATTTTGTTTATTTTATTTTGAAATTATATTTAAAAAAATATAATAAATCCGCGTGTTTCAATTAGGATTGGTCAAAGTGGGCAAAATCCCTTTATTATAGCTAAATTGTAAGTTACAATTATGTCAATATAAAGATGTTTTGCCCATTTATATTTACATTTATTGAATGAATCATACTGGAGTTGATTTTGGAAATATTGGTGCATACTTAAATAAGTACTATTTCTAAAAATTCGTCTATGCCCAGACAGCACACATAGTCCAATGGACGTCCACTTTAGATCTATTTGAGGGTCAGGTCGTCCATATCTGGGCATCCAGTGTACGTCCGTTTATGCTAATTAAATTGACAGCTGAATATCGATACCCAGAGAACGTCTGTTTTTGGACTTAATTTTAAGTTTAGTGGTATTTTGACGTCCAGTGGACGTCCATCTTAGGTCATTATTTGTTAAGCCTACTAGATAATACCCATCTATATATACTTCTTTTTTTAATATAACTGGTCATTAAAAATTGACAAATTGGATCATTGCCTTTCATTCTATCAGCGGAAGTTTGAAATATTTTTTAATTTTAACTGTATCTAGTAAAAAGTTTTCAAGTGGTTCCTTGGTCAAACTCGTCTAACGATTGAAAGCGTAAAACGATAATGGATGTGTCGTGAGTTCGATGCCTGCTCAGGACAAGCGATTTTTAATAAAAAAAAAATAAATGGTGTATACCCAGACAGCACACCAAATCCTTTGGATATCTAATGAACATCCCAATATCCACTGGATGTCCAGTCCATGGTGGATATCTATTTTATATCCATGAGCTGTAATTTATAGACATGCAAATGTCCATAAATAATAGTAATTATATAGCAAATTATTAAAAAATTACGCCATTGTGCTCGCCATTGTGGCTATTAGTACCGTTCACATATTTAAAATTAATTTTTTTAAGGTGTATTCAATATCCCATGGACATCCACTAAATATATCAAAGTCTAGGCGCGAACACAAACCATCGTGGATATCCGCTAGATGTAATTTTTCATTTTGCTTACTAAGTATAGATGGCGATACTACTTTCGCATCTACTCATGCTCAACCCGCCGTAATTGAGTTCGATCGAAATTTGTTTCACAATCAGACTCCATTAAAGACTGAAGTCGAGAATTTCCATTTATTGCTGAAGAGTCCTAATAAGGATAACTTTCTCCTTAGTGGGCAAAATCAAAGGCAGAGTGTTGAAAATATTTTTTATCTCTGTTATTTTATTTCGACTTTATTCAATAATCATTGGTTACTTATGAACCTCTACTAAAGATACCTACAAAATATTTTGCTGAATATCCGAATTCTTCTATATCCTGGGATATAGACGGCCATTTGGTTGGATATCCATACTGGATATCCACAGAATATATTCTGTGGATATCTCTGGGATCTCTTGTATTGTCCGGAAGACACTCATTAGATATTTTGCTGGATATCCATATAATATCTTCAATATTCTGGATATAGACGGACATTTGAATATCCATATTAGATCCACGGAATATTTCTTTTATCCTGTGGATATATTGGAAATCCACAAAAGATATTCTGTGGATATCTCTGAGATTTGGTGTGTTGTCTGGGTAGCAGTTTGCGAAAATAATAAACAAATTATTAATAATATAAAATAGTGTGCGTTGAGTTGCAGTTCTGTAAGTGGGGATGTGGTCTTAATGGAAATATAATCCTGGACGTTTTTTGAATGTCCAGTATTCGACGTCCAAATATATTCCAGAATTGGACGTCCTCTGAATGGTTAAAATTGTGCCATTTGTATACTTCACTGGACGTCCATTGGATGTCGGAAGTCCAGTAAAAACTCATTTTTGGACGTCTAGACATCCAAAATTGTATATCGAATGGACGTCCAATGGACATATTTGTATTGTCTGGGTGATAGCCAGGCCTGGTATTTAACTCTAAATACATAAACCTTAAATGCCATCTGGCTTAACTTGGCGAGAAAACACTTGTTTCTACAGAAATGAGTGATAAACTTGAAAGTCCTTTTATTATAATATAAATCTAGAAATTCTAAAAATATGTAAGTACTTTTTAAACCTAAAAGCTTTAAAAATATATGCACATTTTAAATATTTAGTTGAACCTCTCAAACTTAATGTATTTTTAATTGTTACCTAAATTTTTTTTGGCACCCTTAATTTTATTTATTTTATTTTTACTTAAGGAAAAGGTAATTTAATTTAAATATGGGGCTTTTATTACATTTTTAACAATAAATAAACCAAATATTGAACAAATTTTATAGATAAATAATTATAAAATAATAAACGTCTTTTACTTTTATAACAAATATTTATTTATTACATATTGAATTATATTTTGGTGCCAAAATTTCACCATTGCTATTAACCCTAACTACTTCAATGTAATTAAATCACATTGCAACATTTGCGCATGGACTATAACAATAATTTCAGATAATTTGGGGTCTATTCTGTAACAATTCCTTTATATTTAACGGCCTTTAAAAATATTTTCTTCTTTACTTCCGTCATTATTTAAACGGATCTTTAAAATACATTAGAGGACTATCTTAAATAAATCTGTTTAAATAATGACAGAAGTAAATTAACGAATACAAATATACTTTTAAAGACCGCCAATATTTTTAAAGGCCGTTAAATATAAAGGAATTGTTACAGAATAGACCCCTTTGTCAAAATATTTCGCTCAGTGTAGAAAATAAGCATGTTTTCTCAGCATGCTAAGTTGTGTATTAATCAAAGTCATGCTGTGAAATAGGTACATCCGATATCAAAGGCATCGACAGCTACTGTCGCTTCTCCTTGTGGTGCGTTTGATTTGATCATCGGAGATCTCCGAGCGCTTCAAAAGTGTTTGAATTGACACTCCGAGAGATCCCTAAAGTGTTTGTTTCGCTTTGGAGCGAGAACATAGAGCGAGCTCGATGTTCTCAGAGCAGAAAGATCGAGAAGAGGGAGAAATTTGTCTTTGTCTCTACCTATCTCTTTTTAATTAACTTACAAACAAATTTGAATCTCAAAATTAAAGACCAGACAAGAAGTCAACAAATTACTTAGCCGCTATTGTCTTATAGCTAAAATTATTCATCATAAAAAAACACAAAATGTGTGTTTGGAAAATACATTTTTTCTGTCCAGATCCAATCACCAGTAATCACAGTCATGGAGTATGAGAGCGAAGTGGGCATTTGTGGTAAATGCTGCATTTCAGGGCCATTGCCCCTTATTATTAAAAGTTTTTCCATTTTCTTTACTTTTTGCTCACTATTTTAACATACAAACCAGAAACAAGAATCACAGAAAAGCGAGGTTATGTTTTTTACTCTGTTTTATTTGATTTGATTCAATGCTCTATTGTGACGTCATCACTTCTCGGTCTCCTCGACGCTCGCTCGATCGAGTTTCAAATCAAACGCCCCTTTGATCGGTATTCTCGGGTTCCTATAAAAAAATGTTATAAATATCTGGGCGTTGTCCTAGATAATAAACTTTTATGGAATAAACATGTAGAGCATATTAAAAGTAAATGCGAAAAGGGAATTAACATGTTAAAATGTGTTTTAAAAACCAAATAGGGTGCTGATCCTAATATCGCACTTCAATTCTATAGAACATATATTCGGTCTATTATAGATTATGGAAGTGTTTTGTATGGTAGTGCAGCAGAATGTCATCTGCGTACTATAAATAAAATTCAATATAATGCTGTTAGATCTTGGAGCTATGATATCTTCCCCTGTTCACGCTCTTCTAGTGGAAGCTCAAGAACCACCCTTAT